ACCCAGCAATTCCACTTGGGTATATATCCAAGAGAAAGGAGTATGTGTTCACCAACCAACAGGTACAAAATACACATAGAAGCTTTATTCATAAAGTCCAAATGTCTATCAACAGAGGGATGTCATATATGGAATGGGGCTTGGAAAGAGTTTCTAGGAATCTTCTATTTCTTGACTGGACTGGTAGCGGCATGGAGGTTTGCTTTGTGATAGTTCACTGAGCTGCAAATTTAAGTTTCATTCATTTTTCCTTGTGTAATATTTTATAATAAAAAGGTTTAAATACGAATAAAAGGCACCACAAGATGACTAATACCCATCGACACAGCAGGTGTGCTAGAGTGGGTGCTTTAGTTGTTTAAATTGCAATCTGAGACCCAACTGAACTCGTCAGCTTCCTCCAGGAAGTGCGGGCAGCAAACCACAGTGCACGAGGAGCCATTCCCAGTAGCTACATGAGCTCCGTCCACTCAAGAAGACCTTGGTAACATCCTATCTTGGGCCCTAGGAGTTGCAGTGTTTAGAAAAGAGGATTAGCATGAGATAGCACTTTCCTTTCACATTTCTTGCCTCCCAATAAAAAAAAAAAAAAAAAAAAACCCACAAGAGAGAGAGAAAAACCTATTCTTATCACACGAGCAGTCAAGCCTTCCCAGAAGCTTGGCCCGCATCTAAGACAGCCTGGGAAGCCATGGCCCTCGTGTCCTGGGCTCAGTGAAGAGCAGATGAGCACAATGAAGCCACGTGTCCTCAGAGATGCCTGCAGCAATCCTGCCTAAGACTTAATACCCGGATGGGGCCAAGAAAAGAGCAGCCCAAGGTAGGAGGAGGCTCTGCCTTCTGTGTGACTCAGCTGCCATCTCGCCGTCCTCTCCTGCCTGCCTTATTTATCCATACTCCGTGCTTTATTTTATTCTACATGCCACAGACTGTCCTAGACACCAAGGAAAGAGACATGGTCTCAGCCCCACAGTTTTGGGATTAAGACGCAAATGTGTACTTACAAATGGTGAAAAGCTATTTAGGGATAAAGGAAGGTGCCATGAAAGAAAAGAAGGGCCCTATTAATATGATTTGAGCTTTGAGTCTACGGAGCCACTCCCGTTTTCTTATTCTTCGGCGCTAACTTTCAGGTATCTGAAACAACAGCTAAAAATAGCGCTTGTGTAGCTGGAACAAAAGTGACGTAAGAGCATTCATTTGCCACTTACTGCATACGGCCTTAGTTCCCTGACCCCTGTGTCAGTTGCTCTCAAAAAGTCAGTTAAGAACTGCATCTTGATTGTTACAGTGACGTGGTAGGGTGGCAACAGCAGCTGCATTTCGTCACCGGGGACTAGGGATGGCGGACGTCCCTCCACACGCAGGACAGGCAGCACAATGAACTGTTCTGTGCGCTACATAACTTCTGGATGTCTGCCAGATAGTCATGTGGGTGAAAGCCTGTTGATAATCACCTGAGGCTACACTCTCAGACCATTTTCCATTTAAACACAAAGTCTTTTTGTCCTGTTTTTCATATACTGAATTCTCCAATCCTGGGCCATCAACACAACATACCTGTGTCAGTGTACACTTACGGCATGCGTATCTGTAAGTGTCGGCATCTGACTACTTCATTGTGACTGTTAGTGTAGTAACAGCTGCGCATTTACATATCAACATACTTATTCTATTATGAATTATTTTTATTTCTTCTTTATATTCTGTTTGTTGTACTATATTGACTTTTTTCCTAACATGTAGGTAGGGGAGAGTATCTCTGAATTTTATTTCAAGATCGTAAAGAAGGCGTTATAACATATTGGTATTGGTTAGAGATCTCAGTACTGGGTCTCAGAGGGTTGAGAACATGAGTCCATCCAAGTTCTCCGTTAGACAGAAGTTCCTAAAGGACACGGGCTAGGTCTCATTTATCTTCCCCTGGGTACCTGCTATGGCAGTTTAAGTAGATGACAAACATTTGCTAATTTATTTAAATCACAAAGAAAACTCGTGTCAATAAGCAAAACCTGTTGAGCTTTCATTTTCTGGGACTACAAATACTATTCAATAAACTACAGGGAGGTCTTTCAGGGCCTGAAGAAAGTTAGTTTTTCCATGACTTAGTTCAACATACAATCAGATGATTTTAATAAACTAAGTTTTCTTTAAAGTAAGTAAGGTTACAAACTGCACAGTACAAAGTAGAGTTTTTTTTTAAACTCCGGGGCGCCTGGGTGGCTCAGTCGGTTAGGCATGCAGCTTCAGCCCAGGTGATACTCTCACGCTTCTTGAGTTCAAGCCCCGCATCAGGCCCTCTGCTATCATCACAGAGTCCCCTTCAGATGCCCTCCCCCCTCCCGTCTCTGCCCCTTCACTGCTCATGTGCTTTCTCTCTCTCTCTCTCTCAAAAATAATAAATCAAAAAAAAATCACTTAAACTCAAAAATGCTTTAAGAGCAGGAAGGAAGTGTATGTTTAAGTACATTTGACTCTTTTTTTTTTAATTTTTTAAAATGTTTTATTTATTTCTGAGAGAGAGAGAGAGAAAGAGAGAGAGAGAGAGAGAGCGAGCATGAGCGGGGGAGGGTCAGAGAGAGAGGGAGATACAGAATCTGAAACAGGCTCCAGGCTCTGAGCTGGCTGTCAGCACAGAGGCTGACACAGGGCTCTAACCCACGAACCATGAGATCGTGACCTGAGCCAAAGTCGGACGCTTAACCGACTGAGCCACCCAGGTGCCCCATAAGGACAGTTGACTCTTGAACAACACAGGGGTTAGGGTTATGGAACCCGCATGAAGTAAAAAAGCCTACGTATCACTACAGATTCCCCCAAAACTTAATTACTAAGTTTGCTGACTGAAAGCTTTGCCGCTAACATACACAACTGATTAACATATATTTTGTATGTTATATATATTATATTACATATAGCTTATAGTAAGCTAGGACGTTACTAAGAAAATCATAATATAAACACATGAACGGTACTGTACTGTATTTATTTTAAAAACTCATGAAAAAAAAGGGGGGGGGGGCACCTGGGTGGCTTAGTCGGTTAAGCGTCCGACTTTCGCTTAGGTCATGATCTCGTGGTTCGTGGGTTCGAGCCCTGCGTCGGGCTCTGTGCTGCCAGCTCAGAGCCTGGAGCCTGTTTCAGAGTCTGTCACTCCCTCTCTCTCTCTGACCCTCATCTGCTCACGCTGTCTCTCTCTCTCTCTCTCCTAGAAATAAATAAAACATTAAAAAAAAAAAAAAAAACTCATGTACCTGGGTGCCTCAGTCGTTTGAGCATCCAACTCTTTTGATTTCAGCTCAGGTCATGATCCCAAAGGATGGTGGGATTGGGCCCCACATCAGGCTCTCTGTGGAGTGTGGAGCCTGCTTAAGATTCTCTTTCCCTCCACTTTGCTCTTGCTTGCTCTCTCTTTCAAATAAATAAATATCCATGTATGAATGGACCCACACAAGACACACTGGTGCTATTCAAGGGTCAAATGTATTTTCATCACCTTAGTCCTATTCTAGTACCTCCTACTCAATGAACTACACCATCATGTGACCAGCTTTAAAATCTAGAAACCTAGGTCATGGTTGACAACATCCTCTTCCTCACTACCCTATCCCATCAAGAAGTCTTATCAATTTTCTAATTATATAGGTGCTTTATATACTCTGGAAATCTGTGACATCGTCCTACTGCCCTTTGCCTCTTTAAAAGCTTTCTGATTGAAAATTGTGGTTGGATTTCCATTAAGTGAGGGTCTGCTATTGTTTCCTAATAATTTCAAGGATAATTCAACACCTGTTTCTTTAAAACGTCAACATAAATCAGTGATTTGTCTTTTGATTATGCTGCTTGATTAATCAAGTAGGATCCTAAGTTATATATAAATCTTATCAGGACAAGTGAAGCTACTCTGACCGGGGAGGAGGTTGGTCTAATTACTGGGGCAACACATAATATATAGTGAGGATATTTGACACAAAAACTTAGGAAAGCCAGACGCTGGACTGGCTAAATTAAGAAGAGGTAACATTAAACACAAGCAAAAAACAAAACAAAAAACAAACAAACCCAACATGGCAGAAGGCCTACAAATAATTCACGACTGATGACATTATAATGTAGGTGAACGGACTGTGCAAAATGGCAAGGGCTGCATTACGAAGAGCACTGCACTCTGAGAGTTGCTAGGAAACCATCTCACTTATCTATCCTCACTTAAAGTAGGAAGAGAAGGAATGGAAGAGAAATTAAGGTGGGGCCCAGTGAGTTGTGTTTTCCTTCCAGAGAAATAGCCTTCCCTGCGTCATATTTCTTAAATACTGTGAAAGCACAGGAACATAATTAGTTGTAAAGCACTAAACTTGGTGCATTTCAAAAGCTAAGAAATAACTGCAAAATAAATAAACAAACCATGCGAAGACACAGATAAAATCTAACAAGGCAGTTTCTCTCCTTTTTCATTTACTAGGGAAAAGGTCCTTATTCCTAGCTATAAATGTTTTTTTTGGCAAGAGAATTATTGGGAAGATTTCTGAACATTAAAGAAAACCGATTATAGGGAAAAAGGCAATTATGACAAATGATAAATCTTTATTAACAAACCCATACCAAATAAGCAACAATGTGATCAAAACTGTCAATGGTATTAACCTAAAGAAATGTACTAAGAGCTGTAACAATCACTGGTAATATCGGGTAAAAGATTTATTTTTAAAATTCTGAATTCACAGGGGCACCTGGGTAGCTCAGTTGGTTAAACATCTGACTTCGGCTCAGGTCATGATCTCACAGTTTGTGAGTTCAAGCCCCGCGTCGGGCTCTGTGCTGACAGCTCAGAGCCTGGAGCCTGCTTCAGATTCTGTGTCTCCCTCTCACTCTGCCCCTACTGTGTTCACACACCGTATCTGTCTCTCACAAAAATAAACAAACATTAAAAAAAAATTCTGAAATCACAGACACTTTGTCTAAATGTGAACAAAGGGGACTATGTTAGACAAACGTCATACCGTAAGGCTTTTCTTCTGTTACTTTGCCCGTGGAATCTAGAGTGTCGGTGGCTTTCCCCAGCTCTCCAATGGCCGTGTACCTCTGGAAGACAGGAAGCAAAGGAGAAAAATAGGTCATCAGGTAAAGAAAAACTTATGCAGGTCTTCAAGTTTTATATACAGAATTTTACTAATACCACCAACTTGAGACAAAATAAAGACAAAAATAAGAGACTGCGGCTGTTTTGTTAATTTGTGACACATGAGAAGCACTTATATAAACTGGGGAGGGCTCGCGAACTTCCCCCACCAGCCAACATGACAAAGAAGAGCCTGATTTTACTGACAATCACGGCTTTATGACAAACATATTGTTGTTACGAGCCAGTTTCTAAGACCAGTTTTATACCGGGCAGTTTTGATTCTGGAAGGAAAATTTCAGACATACCTATGAGGAGAGAGATGGTACAATAAATCCCCACGTGGCCACCGTAAGACCCAACAATTTTACCATACATACCATTAAAATTAACTTTAAAATCCATCCATTTACTACTTCTTATATGAAATACTAAGACTAATCTTAGATACTTGATTAGATATTTAAACAAAAGCTAAATATGCAGAAAGTGAGCCAATTAGTACAGGAGAGCTAGTGTCCTTAATATTACATGTGTTTTCTGAGTAAAGAGAAATGGCTACTTCTCAAGCTCTCTGAAAGGAAAAAACAATCACTTCTAAGAACTGCTCATTATTCACAAGTGAAGAATTAGAGCATTCATAGTTAACTGAGGACTATTTTACTTCTCACCTCAGGGCACGCTGGTGTCACATATTGTGTCTACTACTTTCCTTTGGTCAAATTCAAGTTTTATTTGGAACATCACATGAAGCAGTAAGAAGAATGCGAGGAATATAATTCCCACTGAAAAGATTCTGTAGTTATGTGGACAACTGTTTAAAGAGGAAGCTCAACGTACTTTGCAGAAACATACGCTTATTAATGACAAATTTATTATGCTAGCAAAGGAACCAGAGACAAAAAAGAGAAAAATATTAGAACTTGAAATTCCCATGAACAAGCATTTTATACCAGCCTAAGGTTGCCCATGGATGAAATCACCTTCTATTACATAGCTCAAAATAATTTTTTTAAACAATGTAATACAAGAGGGAACGTTCTAATGCATTTGAATTAGCTTTCTAAAAATTTCGGAGAAAGACAAATGCCCTATGATTTCACTCATATGTGGAAACAAAATAAACCAAGAAAAAAAAGAGACAAACTAAAAAACAGATGCTTAAATATAGAGAACAAACTGGTGGTTACCAGAGGGAAGGGGGGAGGGGAGATGGCAGAAACAGAAAAGGGGATTAAGAGAGTACATTTATCATGATGAGCAGAGTGATGTATAGAATTGTTGAATCGAATATAACACTGTATGTTATACTTGAAACTAATATAACAGTGTGTGTTAACCACACTAGAATTAAAATAAAATTTTAAAAGTTCAAAAAAATGTTATTAGTATCGACAAAAATTAGTTTCTTGTAAGTGAACATTCAGTCTCATCACCCGAAATGCTCTACTCCTGCTTCTGTATTTCGGAACAGTCAACCTGGATTAGGCATACCATGGAGAGAAGCATATACAGCAGGGAGAATGGGAAGAGAGTGGACTCAAAGGTCTGAACCCTGATTCCATCACAAAAAGTAGGTTAAGTTAGTCTTTCAGGCTGGAACCTTGTTTTCCTGATCTTAAAATGGAGATAATAATAGTACCTCAGGAGAGCTTTTAGAACAACAGTACCTGGCCACAGGAAGCAACATAATACTATTATCATTAAAAAAAAAAAAAAAGATACAGAATGATTCACAGTAACAGTGGTTGGAATGACTCATCTGGTTATAGTGAGTTCCCATAAGAAACAAGAAAGCAAGAAAATGTTCTGATTTTTGCCTTAATCATCTTAGGTCTAGTTGCATAAGAAAAACAGTGCAATCTATACATCACTAGAAATCATAGCTGTTTTCTAGTTCTCCTTGAACCTTGAAAATTTTTACACTATTCTATGTAACAAGTTTTAAAAGGAACCTTTTAATGTTGGAACACACTTTCCAAGTATGCAATCCTCCTTCTCATCTCTGGACTCCAGGGGTTCTGGTACATGCTATTTCCCTACCCTTGAGCTTCCTGTCTTCTCTAGGAATCAAACCCAAAACCCTGTTATCTTTCAAAGTCACTCTACTAATTCATCTCAACTTCTATTCACTCACCTGGCAGCATAGCTAAGAACAGGTGTTCAATACATAAGAAGAAGGAAAGCCTATATCAAACCCACATTGTGTATTCATTCATTCATTCATTCATTCATTCACTAGTGTATTCATTCAATCATGTTTCTTAAGGATTATGAATGTACAAAATATTCTCCTAAGTACCTGTGAGAGATAGGAAGATATATACTGATCCTTATCTTCCCAAATTACAAACTGTTAGCTTGGACTCTGCAATGCTGTTCTACTGGGTTTTTTACTAGACGGAAACATGGTAGCAGTTTAATAAAAAAGTTGCTGACATACTTACATACATGCTGGAGAAGTTCTTATCTGTGCAATTCTTCATATTTCACCATAATTTTGGGCACCCACATTGCACCTGCCTAGTTTCAAATCCTTCCAGGTTTTGCAGTTACACTGAATCTGGCTACATGCTGGATTCTTCTAAAGGGAAATAATACTTAAACCAGCAATTCTCAAACACTGTGGTTTTAGAACCCCTAGAAACACCTGGAAGTTACTGAGAAACCTCGGCACAAGTGTTTTTTTCATATGAGTTCTATCTGTTGATACTTACTCTATTAGAAATTAAAGCTCAACAATGTTTAAAACACTAAAATACATGCACACATTCCATTAAGTATCAGAGCCACCCTATCATCGGGTAACCTCTGAAAAACCACAATATACCTGTGTGATTGCAAAGCTATGAGAACAGTTTTGACTTCAACAGACCCCCCCTCCCCCCCCTCCCCCGAAAAAGCCTCAAAAGTCCCTGGACCACACTTTGTGAACGGCTGGTCTAAATCATAGCTGTTTTCTAGTTTTCCCTTGTCTAGTTTTCAATTATGTTGTGATAATTGTCTTTTAATTCTAGTCAATGATCTGCAAACTACTTAGAAAAATCCACCCAGACAGTTAAGCCTCCTAGTGAAACAAAACCTCACCACCAAGAAGATATGGGTTAGAAGAAAAAAGACATGGCAATGTATATATTTAACGCTACCATTTTATCCTCTGGGATCTAAAGTATTTCCGTTCACTGGCCTATATTCTACACAGAGACAGGATGCATACCTGGGAATTCTGAAATCTATGAATGTATTCATTACAACATAATTTGACTACACGAAAACAAATGGAGGTCCTGTGAGATTCTTAAAGAGGTGTCCACTGAACTGTGTGCTCTTTGAGGTTCATGGTTTCTCACTGACACAAGCACTACTCTCTTCTCTACCTCACCCATCTCCAAGCTCCCTGACCCCACAGCAAGGTACTAGCTAGACATAGCTTTAAGAGCTAATCGGCTTTTGTACCCTTCAGAAGAAAGGGAAATGTTTTTGTGTTACAGAAAGATAATCATGTCCATCTCAAGTAGGCAACTGCTTTTTTGAGGCTTATTTTGAAAGCTTGTGATTCAAAGTTTCATGAACAAACAAAAGAATATTATTTACGATGAGGCAGAAGATTTTTTTAAAAACCTACCAAACCAACATGTGACTTTGTTTTTTTTGTTTTTTGTTTTTTGTTTTTTTCTAGGAGAGAGAGAGAGAGAGAGACAGCGTGAGCAGGGGAGGGTCAGAGACAGAGGGAGATACAGACTCTGAAACAGGCTCCAGGCTGTGTGCTGACTGTCAGCACAGAGCCCGACGCGGGCCTCGAACCCACGAACCGCGAGATCATGACCTAAGCGAAAGTCGGACGCTTAACCAACTAAGCCACCCAGGCGCCCCAACAACATGTGACTTTGAATGTCTTCATTAAAAAGGCACAACTCTTCATAGATCCTAAGTGTAAGCCCTTCCAATTTTCAATATAGTACTTATGGAATATATGAGTATTAATAGAGTGTAAAGACAAGGTACACATTGGACCAGCCTCCGGAGAAAATGTCGGAAATGCACAAGTCCTGGAGAGTTGGATTTTGTTTCACAGTAGCGATATTAAAATCACACCTCAGAGTTGACATTGACTGGTTAACCTAAAGATGCCACTGTATACGTGGGGAAAGTTACGATCTTTTGAACACATCTGGGGTGGAAAAGTTTGGATACCCCAATAGTAACACTTTTTTAATTGCTGGAGGCCTACAAAGCTGCTTCCTGAGGAAACACTGGCCTCAGATGCCTACAGGTATCGCTTCGGTTTACCTCCACAGGGATAGGGGAATAGCCTTACATCTGGATAATGCCAGTTAGTCTTTAAATGGCATCAGTGATTTCATACTCTGCTCATGTGGTTTCTAAAGCACATATACAAGTAACTGGCTTTAATCAGCTGATCCTTCCTCTTTCTGACAAGGGCCATGTTTTGCCGAGGCTACCAGAAATCAAAGATCCGGAAAAAGAATGAAATTGACAGTACTCAAGGACTCCAACAGAACTCACCCAGATAAAATAAATGTCAGGGTCTGTGGGACATGTAGTTAGAGATGCAACAGGTCTGGAACTCAGGACAGAGACGCGGGGATACGTGAAATACCTGCGAAAAGTGACATTATTGACCCTTGAATAACAAGGGTTTGAACTGTGTGAGTCCACTTAGATGCAATTTTCCACAGTACAGATGTGTAAATGCATTTTCTCTTCCTTGTGGTTTTCTTAATACCACTTTCTTTTCTCTAGCTTACTTGAATAATACAATATAAATACATATATAAAGTATGTATTAATCAATTGTTTCTGATATCAGTAATGCTTTTGATCACCAGGAGGGTATTAATAAGTTAAATTTTTAGGGAAAGTTATATGGTGATTTTTGACTGTGTGGGGGTCAGTGCCCCTAACCCCCACATTTTTCAAGGGTCAACTATAATAGGATTTATCGATCAACTTCTGAATACAAGGCATTATACAGAAAACCTAGAGGCTTTATATACACATTATACATGTACACACATGTACACATGTACACACATGTATATACATGTACACACGTATATACATGTACACTTTATACACAAAAGAAAGCAGAAAATGACTCAAAAGAAACATGATAATTGGCAAAGCAAAGAGCACGATAAGATAGGAGAGGAAGCAACGAAGAATACAGAGAGGGTCCCTTAAATCTTACACTGATCTGAATTGGAAGGAACGCAAGAAAGAAAGTGGGTGGTCAGAATAGTCTCTGGTCTTGAAAGAATGGAACAAAATAATCCGATGGCATAAAGATTTTATTAAAAAGGTCAGCACTCCACCCATTAAATGATAGTAGCTGTACGAGGTGGCATTATGTTGAAATGGATTCTAAGGATGTTCCTCGGTTCAGCAGGAAAGAGTGTGGGGCCACGTTCAGTTAACAATATCTCTAATCACGACTGGATGGTGAGGGAAGGATGTACTGCGATATGGCTGTCATGTGAACATCGAGTATCTGCCATCCAAGAACTAAATAATTCTACTCTTGAGGTAACTCCACCCTACAGCTACTGTAAGTCTAATTTTTCTAGTAGCATTGTGATGTGAATAAAATTCATCATACAAGTAGAAAGTGGAGAAAGAGTAAACATTGGGTCAAACTGTAGGTCTGTGCCTACCTAGGCACAATTACAGGCATCAATGAAGTAGAAAGAAAAATATCCAGAGGACATCATATATACGGTTTAGGCTGTTTGATTAAACTTTTGTTTTTTATACGTGTATGTATATATAGGGCCACAATGTAGAATGAGTTTCTCACTGTGGGTTTTGGGGGAAAAAATGTTTGAAAGCAATCTCTGAAATTGCTTCCAGTGATACAGACAAAATCTAGTTTCAAGAAATTTATTCATGGGGCACCTGGGTGGCTCAGTAGGTTGGGCTTCTGACTACGGCTAGGTCATGATCTCACAGTTCATGGGTTTGAGCCCTGTGTCAGGCTCTGTGCTGACAGCTCACAACCTGGAGCCCTGCTTTGGATTCTGTGTGTCCCTCTCTCTCTCTGCCCCTCCCCTGCTGTGCGCTCTCGCTCGCTCTCTCTCTCTCAAAAATAAAAATTAAAAACTATTTTAAAAAATTTATTAACAATTTTTAACTACTTTTGATAAAAATGTTAATATTCCACATAGTTAAATTCAAATGACTTATTTTTTAACAGACACATATCTAAAATGAAAAGTATAAGAAAACAAATAGCTAACAAAATAATAATGCTTATTTTTGAAATGTGAAGCACCCAAGAGCTAGGTTTCCATAATAAGATGCACCTGGGGTTTTCTATTTAGGATACAGTAATTCAAGGATCAGTGATTTCACTGTATAACATTCTGCTTTCCTAAGCTGAATACCAAAATGGTTTGTGATAAATAAAGCCAAAACCAGAGCCAATAATATATTTACATTTCTGGTCATATTTCTAGAAATATTCCTGAAATTTATATGTAAAACATTTCAATAGCGTATTTGTAGTTTCGGGAGGAGGGGAGAAGTGAATAATAATTTTTTTTAATTTTTATGTTTTATTTATTTCTGAGAGAGAGACAGCATGAGTCGGGGAGGGGTCAGAGAGAGAGGGAGATACAGAATCTGAATCCAAGCTCTGAACTAGCTGTCGGCACAGAGCCCGATGCGGGGCTTGAACACACGAACCTTGAGATCATGACCTCAGCCAAAGCTGGACACTTAACCAACTGGACCACCCAGATGCCCCAATAATGAATATTTGAAAAAGAACAAATCCTTAATGTGAACATAGCTTTTTTGTTATTATCATAAAAGTGATCTGTTCATTGTAAAGATTTTGTAAAATACTAAGTAATGTGAAAAAAGAAAATAAATATCTTCCATAATCCAGTATCAAAGTAACCACTGTCTATATGTTGAATTTAAGAAACAAACATTAAGCAAACGGCAAAACCCTGTATCAGAAACATTTCTAGACTCCATGTGTAAGTATTTAAGCACAATGTACATATTTACCAAAACAGTCAAACTCTGCCATTCCAACACAATTTCTGTAGTCTGTGATTTTTCAACACCAACATTTTAAAGGTTAATGCAGCAAGCCACACTGAAATGTTTCCATTTACCTAAGGTATTAAGATCCTTTCCAACTGAAAGATACATATTTCTATTCCAGTTGATAACTAAAAAAGGGATATCAAAGACAGTGTGTTCTCTAGGGCTTTTTATTTTAAGAAAAGCTTACTTAGGCCACTGCCACTCAAAGTGTGTTCCATGGGCCAGTGTCTACGAGATAAACTCAGAAAACGCGGCTGTTGAGAAGCGTACTTAGCAACCTGACACTGCCATAACATTTAAACTATATTTTACAAAAGTCATCAAGTAGTCTGCAACAAACTGGAAAGTTTTCTTTTAAATGGTCTTTGCCCATTATATATATTTTAAGAAACAATTTTGACAAATTCACTTTATCAACTATTAAATAAAAAGTTAGTCTACGAGAGAAACTCAGAAAACGCGGCTGTTGAGAAGCGTACTTAGCAACCTGACACTGCCATCACATTTAAACTATATTTTACAAAAGTCATCAAGCAGTCTGCAACAAACTGGAAGTTTTTTTTTTAAATGGTCTTTGCCCATTATATATATTTTAAGAAACAATTTTGACAAATTCACTTTATCAACTATTAAATAAAAAGTTAGTCTAGGAACTTGCTGAAATACATCTCTACCTAGTGGCTTATTAATCTTCCCTCCATAGGCATTTTCACTGGCCCTCAGCCCCAATCAGTATTAGAGCACCTCACTGCTGACTAGAACACAGGTATTATTGTCTCCTGGAGAGCTGGAAGAGACACTGGAGGGGATCAAAGCATTTTTCCTAAGGAAAAACTGAGAGGCCCAGAGAGGTGAACCCCTTTGACATGCAGACTTCTACCCTCTGGTTGAATGCCTGAAGCAACACACAGATTTACAGAGTTTCCTACCCCTCTGAATAACCCTTTCTCTCTCTTGGTGAATGATTGTACTTATCATCCTAAAGAAGCCTCACTTTTCTTTAGTAAACCTTCTTGTAACCATTAAACAAGGCAAGTCTTTTGTTGAAAAGTGCATGGGTTACAAAATGGTATTGTGTCTATAAAAATTCCAAAGTTAAAGAAAACCTGCCAATAGATGTCATGATCTGTAAGTTCTCTTACATCGAAGAAACAGATTTATATAAAAAGACAGTATAATTTTTTAAAATTATAGGTATTGCAGAATTTTTGCTTCTATAAATCAATCTTCTTTTCAATTAAGAATTTCCAATTTATAGGGGTGCCTGGGTGGCTCAGTTGGTTAGGTGTCCGACTTCAGTTCAGGTCATGATCTCATGGTTTGTGAGTTCAAGCCCCACATAAGGCTCTGTGCTGACAGCTCAGAGCCTGGAGCCTGCTTTGGATTCTGGGTCTCCCTCTCTCTCTCTCTGCCCCACCCCCACTTCCACTCACATTCTGTCTCTCTCTCAAAATATAAACAAACATTAAAAGAAAAAAAGAATTTCCGATTTATAGTTTCAGCATTTCAAATCTCAGATATCATGACAGGTAATTAATGTTCAGGAATGCACATAGTATTTTTTAATTGATCAAAATCCAAAACATAAGTCATTAAGAAAAACATTCAAGAGAAAAGAAAAGCAAAAGTTTTCCAGCATTCTTACCTTGGATCCTGACAACATACTGGTCAACATTTTTGTTCCCCTTCCGATTCCAACCACTGTAAATCAAAGAAAGAAATATTACGACATGCTATTCTGAAAACTAGGTTTTTAAAATATCTATATATTTTGGTCACAATTTCCTGGAACATATAATAAAAAGTTGGAAAGAACATCTATTCAGCATAATTAGAGGGCTCCTCTTACTCTAATCAGTTTAATTTGTCATGCAACTTAGAAATTCTAAAGAGAAGATGGGTGACACATGTTTTTCTTCTCCAAGTGTTAAACGTGATGGAAGACTCAACCTAGACAGTTAGATCATGAAGTTTTAGAAGAATCTCCAAAGATTCACTGGAATTTTATATGGGCATCAGTGAAAGATACATGGCACAATTTAACCACAATATAAAGCCTTTGACAGAGTTCATTATCAAGCAAAGCAAAAGCCATCATCACAGCTAATGAACCATTTAGAGATGATTAGTGTCCAGTAGTATACAATCAAGAAAACAGAAACATAACAGATCAACATAAAGAAGAATCCAGGGTAAAATGAGAGCTTGAAGAACGTATATTCACACAGACCATCTATTAAGTACCACAATGCCTACCTATCTCTTCTATATCAAATTCTATTTATCCTTATGACAACACATTCCACCAGGTGAGAATGATGGTTAACAATCATTTCTGCACTTGAGAGCAAACAGATTTTTGTAATAATTGAAGCATTTCTCATCAATGGATACGATTTTGTAAAAGAACACAATATAAACATCACAATTCAGAATTACAAGAAAAAAAACAAGGAGAAATGATCGGCAAGCTGAATTATTATGGACATTTACAGTGAGTTTACCACGTATCAAATTCCAATCTCAATGTTTCCCATTCATTAGCTCATTTAATCCTTATAACAACCCTAAAAAATAATACAATTATCCCTATTTTATAGATGAGACAGTGAAACTCTAAGAACCTTGCACAGAATCTCACAACTAGTATATAGTGGAGTTAAAATTCAGATCAGACTGTCTAACTGTAGACCCCCTTCCTTTTCATCCTTCTGCCACTTGACTCATCCAGACTTTCTTCCCACTGTCATGAGCCTGAATTAGCCTAAACCACAACCAGTCTGATTGTTCTACATTCTAGCCCTTTCTCTTCCAATTCATACCATTTCATAACCACTTCCGATAACCTGTACTGCACACTACGAAGCCCCCAACAATACTCAACAGGGTCCCCATGCCTATGGTACCAACACTTTTTATTCAAAATTCATCCTTCAAAACCTAGCTCAAGTCTCAACCCCTACATAAAATCATCTAAGCTTCTAGGGTAGAGTCATACTAGCACAAAGACTAAGATAAAAAAAACGTTGTGCCTTTAGTATCCTCTGTTGAGCACACTGCTCTTTAAATGACAGCTGCTGCCGCCCAGGCACAAACTTTGTATAATAATAACAAAGATCTGGGGTGCTGGGGTGGCTCAGTCGGTTGAGCCTTCAACTTCGATTCAGGTCATGATCTTAGGCCTCTTGAGTTCGAGCCCTACATCGGGCTTTCTGGTCAGCACAGAGCCTGCTTCTAATCCTCTGTCCCCTCTCCCCACCCCTCCCCTGCTCATTCTCTCTCTCAAAAATTAATAAACATTAACAACAACAAAAACAAGATCCAATGCAATTTTGTTCCATTTAAGACTCCCCAGTCAATATTTTTGGAGCAGCTACCACACACACAGTCCCAAGAACAACACTTTCAATGAAACAGAACATTTCCTGACTTTGAAAGAGTTTATAACCTTATGGGGAAAATCTCATACAAATGAGAGAAATTGCAAGTGCTCAAAAAAAATGGTTCATGAATTAATGATAAGAGCAATATGATAATATATGATTAAGAGACAAAATGAACACAGAATAATTGCTGTAGGAGGTCAAGGAAGGGAATACTCTGAACACCTACCAGATAATGCTTCTTTCAAGCATTTCAAACAGAGTTTGAGTTGCCTTAAAGGATGTTTAGAATCTGAACATACAGAGAAGAGAGAGGTTCTAAAAAAGGAACGGACTGCACACATTCTCAGATACAAGGATGAGCACAGTGGCTTTATCAACCAGAGTGCAGGTGTCTTAGAGTGGGCTGACATGTGTGACTTCACCCTGGTTGAAACGCTGATTTCTCTGCTAGTTCAGTGATCCAGAAGGGTAGATTTTGAAACAAGAAGGCATCTTAAGGTTATCCAGCTGAACCTTCCCATTCTTCATCCAAGAAAACTAAGGCCCAAAAGACCTCTGTGATTACACTGGGTCCACCCGGATATTCCAAGATAATCCCTTTGTCTTAAAGTCAGCTCATTAGCAACATTAATTCTATCTGCAATTGTAATGCCCCCTTGTGATAGATCCGAACATACGCCTAGATTCTGGAGATTTTGACGTGGACATATTTAGGATTTTGAGAATCTTGCAAGCCTTCTTTATAGAATTATAGATCATATATACTATATGTAATATAGGGTAACCGAATTATAAATCTAAATTTCAGGTTATATCTTAAATTGTCAGCTAAAGTCTTAAATCTGTACCATTAATATTACAAAGGAAAAAAAAATAGCAAAAAACAGCCTATATGTTGAAAGTAAAAGTATATTTTTTCACACAGGTTCGGTTTTGTTTAAAAAACCTTTTATAAAGCACTTTACCAAGTAGGGCTATATCTGTATGCTATAAATATTTTAGAGGTATGGTAGATATTACCCCTTTCAAGAGATAAACAAATGGAGATTCAGAGAGATTATAGGTTTTCCCAGGGTAGATATACTTAGTAAATAAAGCAGCTAGACCACGGACACATGATGATTAGAACCCAGTGTTTATTTCACCATATAACCAAAATCAACTTCTAATAGTCTCCAGAACTACTAATTTAGACAATGAATATCCTTTATTCTGTGACTAAATACCTACATTTTTTGAACTTTATTCCTCATTGAGAACTACAGGCATTAGAAGAACAATTAATACATTTGACATATGCACATATTATATCATCTTAAAAGTCCCTGGATGATCAAATATAAATTCAGTGTCCAAACAGGAAATTAATTCCAATGCAACTACTTCCACTCACACAAATCTTAGCCAAATGCCTGCCATTCATAATACTAAAATGGAAATTTCAACAAGATCTCTTAGCTTGGGGTAAAAGATAAACTTATTTATTCACTGCCCTGAATGTTCCCATCCTCTGCATACCAATGAGTAAAAACCACCAGAAACTAATACAATCGGTCCATTCATAAATACACAGCAGACCCTATCCTGGCTCTTCTTATATTTTGGTGTTGTGCCTTGGAAAACAGTGGAACAGAATGGTTACAGCAAATAAACTTCAACTTATGGAGAGCTGAACTGATAAGAACTGAGAAGCCAGTGGTAGGACCAATCGATAAGAATGTGGTGACTGTTGGTAATCCTGCGATGAGCCTGGGAGGCAGCCAGGAGGGCCAGCTATCTGCCATGCCAGGATAGGGCAAAAGCTTTGGAACTGAGCATATCTGAGTCGAAATCCTGACTCTGCCAAAAGCTACAACAATGCACGATCTCTCTGGGTCTTCAATTCTTCTTCTGTAAAATGATGAATAATAACATCTACTTTAAAGGATACAATAGGATTAAAGTACATAATTCATGATGCCCTAAACTGAAGACGTCACACAAAGTAAATTGTTCAATAATTTATCATTAGTTATGGCAAGAAACAATAACTTGGTCAGAATTTGCCTATTCAAGTTCTCTATTTCAGGAAAATGGATTTCCGAATGTTTTTTAAATCTATTTAAGCCTTAGTAAAGATATTTTTGCCAACACAAATGAAATAAAAACTCTTAAGTTTAGAAACTGCAAGCTCCTATATTGTTTCTAACTTTCTTGAAAAATAGAATTTTCAGGGCACCTGTGTGGCTGTTGGTTAAGCGGCCGACCTTGGCTCAGGTCATGATCTCGCAGTTTGTGGGTTCAAGCTCCGCATTGGGCACTGTGCTGACAGCTCAGAGTCAGCACAGAGCCTGGAGCCTGCTTTCAGATTCTGTATCTCCCTTTTCCTGCTGGGTCTCTCCTCTCTCTCTCAAAATTAAATAAACATTACAAAATTTTTTTAAAAAAAGCAAAGAAAAATAGAATTTTCTTCACCAATTTTATCCTTTTCTTCTAAATAAGCATTCATTTCCTTTGGAGAGCTTAGATTGAGTCTGTTGTTTGTATCTAATTTTTTAGCTTTAATAAAATGGAGTGGACACTGTAGCACAGTATTTTATAAACCACGAGCCACAACTCATTAGTGCATCATGAAATCAATGTAGTGGATTACCAATTAGCATATCATGAAGTCCATGTAGTGGGTTACCAACATTTTTAAAAAATGAAACAAAATAAAATAGAAAACACGAGACCATGTAAAAAGTAAGTATTGTCCTATTGAAGTTTTTTTCTAGGATGTAGGGACAGGAATCCCAACTTCTATATTTTTGTGACTATGGATACAGTTATACAAAAAGTTTGTACAGCATACACTATGCAGATACATACTTCAACAGTCCCTAAAGGTAAACGTTAGAACCTCTACCAGATGCGTAATAAATAAATAAATAGGGATGGATTATTTTTCTCCTGTCAATCAATTCTACCTATCTGCCTCTACAAACAGTAAAGTGCTCACTGTACCCCTCCAAAAGAAAGTGTGACTTCCTCTCAGGAACCAGAAAGCCCACTTTCCCAAAAGAGCTGATCTCTGAGATTAAATGTGATATAGGCAGAAAAAAGAGCCAAATACTTGTCAGGAATCCCCATCACCACCCCCAGGCTGGAAGATTCAGAAGCGGCTAAGACTTACAATGTAACATAGTCATGTTACACGGCAGCATCAAATGGGAAAAGGACACCAGAGAAATTCACCCATTGGTTTCCTTATTCTCTCTTCCACCTATGAGTGGGGAGACACTTGAGCACACTCCTACCTCCAAAATAGAAACAGCAGTAAGGTGTGCAATGTTCCCACTCCGGGAAACCTACCGGAAACTCAGGACCTGAAGTTCGTATTGGAGAGGATGGGAGGGATGGTCACTCAGGCACATCTGCTTGGGTGGAAGGACGAAATTCCAGCCCGAAAAGGAAAGCAGGTGTTCAGCATCAACCACACTGTTCACACCAACAGCTGAGGCACAGCAAAAACACCCTTGACAGATAGAGAGGGGAGGGGACACTCTCAAAATCCAAGTTCCCAGGTGCCTGCCAAGGGCAAGCCTTGTGAGCAGGGCTTTCTAAACACAGCGATTTCAGACCTGCTCTGTTAGCCCTTCTTCACACATACAAACCTTTTCTCAAAGTCCCATCCACACACGAAAGTGGCTATTTCTAATAGTTTCTACTAGTTTGTACCAGTTCAGGGCTTCCTCAGAAATTATATAATTTATATAATTATATTTAGGTATTATAAATCCAGTAGATCTAACATACCCCAAAGCAGACTGAAAATGGCAGGGCTTTAGTCAATCTTATCTGTTCTCAATCAATCTTTCTTTTCTTTTTTTTTTTAAAGTAGATTTTGAGAGCGAGAAAGAGAGAGAGAAAGCGCACTTGTGCACAAGTAGGGGAGGGGCAGAGAGAGAGGGAGAGAAAGAATCACAAGCAGGCCCCAAGCTGTCAGCACAGAGCCCTCAGGAACCTTGAGATCATGACCTGAGGCAAAATCAAGAGTTGGACGCTTAACCAACTGAGCCACCCAGGCGCTCCAATATCTTTCTACAATAAGTGATAGTTACATCAAATTTCCATTCATATCTCTTACCCAGAACTCCTCGGGCAGCACTGTCTAGGGTCCCTCCATGTCCAATTTTCAAAGTCTGCTTTTTCCTTTTGGTCCATTCTGGAGAAGGCATTCCAGCTTCTATGAAAGTAATTGGGATGAGAAATGGCAATCAGCAAGACAAATCAAGTAGGATCTCTATAAATAAGGGGGGGGAGGATAGATGGAATACTCAAAACAAAAGTACTGTACAAACTTAACAGATTAAGATGATAATATTACTAGCAAAGAACAGACTCAAAAATGTACAGACACTCCCTAATTACAATTATAAAGAAATAGTTGTGTAGAACCTAGAATTCATTTTTTTCCATTTTTAATTTTTTAATTTATTTCTGAGAGAGAGGGAGACAGCGTGAGCAGGGGAGTGTCAGAGAGAAAAGGAGACACAGAATCTGAAGCAGGCTCCAGGCTCTGAGCTGTCAGCACAGAGCCCGACACGGGGCTCGAAACCACGAACCGCGAGATCATGACCTGAGCCGAAGTCAGACACTCAACCAACTGAGGCACCCAGGCACCCCTAGAATTCATTTTTGAAGGGAAAAAAATTTTTTTAACGTGAGCAAACATCCAAGCTAACCCTGAAAAACCTAGTAAATTCCTAATGATAGTGAGCTGTTAGAGAATGATGAAAAGAAGTTTGTTTTTACATAGGCAGCTAGTTTTACAAGTCCGCAATTTCATTTCTAATTCTTTTCATTTCCTGGTATTCTTTTCTGGTGCCCCCAGTTACCTAATGTTGGGAGTACCTCTCACAAGGCTACTACTTAAGAATATTAAGTTCCCAAAGGATCTTCACTGCCCTTCGCTCCAAAGCAAAATCCTCAATATTCCTTCACGAAGCTAATCTCAACAAAAGGTTATGTGGGAAGTGACTAACAGGTTGCCTCTCAACCTCTGAAGCATTTAGATTTAAAGAAAGAAAATGGCAACCCAGCCCATCGCGTCCTCCCAGTATAAACGGAAATAATGTTATCTGACCGTGCTTTGGAAACCACAAGACACTCTAACAATAAATTATTATTACTAGCATTATTAGTGTTATATATATCAATGTATTGACATAATATTGGCTACTGAAGTTCAAATGAGACAGGGCAAGAGCAGAACAGCTATATTGATCTCCATCTCCCAAGCCCATCAAACTTCCCTTATAACCACAGACACCGAGAAGACAAATAAGAGAGCCAAAGAAAATGCAAAGTGGGGACAGAAAAAGGAAAAGAAGGAAAGCTGAGCAATAATGGAGGAGCCAGATTAGAAGGCCAAAAGACATGCTGGGCTGCTTGGCCTGACAGAACACCGTCTGTCTGGAACACAGTCCTAATGCCACCCTCTGATTACATCACCATGCTTGGAAGGGTACTGCTGTAACACAAACCCATAAGCATAGGCCCACGCTTCGAACCCTTCACCTTTCGCTTGTAATGCACTATGGATTTCTCATCTGCAAGTTTATAGAAGACTTCTGGAGAACTCTTTGTATTTTTCAACTTGACACTCCTTCGAATATGAAGGCCCACAAATATGCTTCTTCCCTTTGGTTCCAAATGTGCCTCTTTCAAGTTCAATGACACACCACCTCTACTGTATTGGAATTTCACTCACCCTACTGGTAACATTTATGGAAGAATGTTTGTTAAGGTCTTTTCTAATGTAATGGGCCTTAAAAGGATTCAGATAGACAAAGAAGAGCAAGGATTATGAATCAATATAGGAAAAGGCCAGAAATGTTAGTAGAGGCTATTTCCATTAACGGTGCTCTACATGAGTGGGTGTCAAACCTGGCTAGCATCAGAATGTGGTGCCTTGGAATCTGTATCTTTTAGAATCTTCCCAGGTAATTCTGACAGCCAGTTACAACGGCTTTTGGGAAAGTCTGGTCTAGCTAACATACATATAGAATAGGCCAACCAAGGCAATATAGAAATGGAGTAATGAGAATATCTGCATCTGAGTGAGCAGCTTCTGGAGGACAGCCTACCAGTGGCCTTGAAACAATGTTTTAACCAAGTTTCAACAAGAAACTTCAGTGCCCTTGAAGGCAGATTAACCAGAAGGCCAGGATATGGCTTCGATCCTATCAGAAATCTGTCTGAGCCAAAGGTGAGCTAACAAATCAGGCCAAATGAAATTCCTTCCTTCGACATTCCCTGTATGACCCATTCTTACAGGTAACAAAGTGCAAGGAAAGTAGCCAGAATGTACCTATTGCCATTAAACATTTGAATCTGCATTGTGTCCATTTTAATTAACAAATTCCTATAAGAATGATTTCTTTTGCATTTAAAAAACGTAAAATAAAGTTTGCCAAGGGACTCTAAACAATGTTAAGAAGAAAGTTCCTGTAGTACTGTTTTTTTAACAGGGTCAAGTTCAGGGCAGCCTTGAATTGGCTAAATAGTTTTACCACCAAAGGCTGCAGAAATGTCTATGCTTTGAGCTCGGTTAAAGGAAAAGACAGTATCTTTCACCTTCACTTCTCTAGAGGCTAGCATAGATCTGGCTTAAAAGGTAGGTATCCAATAAATCTAAGGTTCCTGGATGCCACTGTCTGAAATAATCTACTGGGCTGATGAACTGAGATCTTTCAGGCTTTTTTAAGACTCCCTCAGCGCACGTGAAGAAACAAAAAGAATGCTCTTCAGTTAGTGTGTTCCTCAAAATGTGATCCACAGCCTACCTACACCAGAATCACCTAGCACAACCTTTTAAAAACGGTTTCCTGAAAATACCCCTGAACCTCAAAATCACAACCACTGGGTTTCAGGAACCTGCATTTGTACAAGGGGCTCTAAATAATTCTTATGCCCACTATGTGAAAACCACTGCATTAAAGTCTTGGTTAATTAAGTAATATCTGCATTTCCAAACCATTTTTAAGAATGCAACTTTGGGAGAAGAGAGCCAGTTCTTCCTTCAGGAGCAGCTTATCCACGTGAATCAAAGCAAAGGCTCCTGGGCGATCAGATTACAGAATTATTGGTCGGCCTTCCCAAGGGAAGAGGTTTATTTGTGTAAGTGTAGGGTTTTTGTGTTTCGTTTCTTGTTCTTCCCTTGAGAACGACAACTGCCAACTAGGCTAGACGAGTTCATGTCAGGGCAAGTCCAAGTTCGAGATGCCCCAGATTTCTGTCCAGAGCTAATCCAGTGGTCATCCTACCCTTTCCCCTCCTTTTATTTACGGAGGCACAAACGCGCAAAACAAGCCCATTGGCTCTCTGCGGCTTCCAGCCTGGTCCCCACCCGGGCTGCGGTACCTGCTAGCAGCTTCTCCTTCAGCCGATTCAGCAGCTCGGCTGAAGTGGGCCCTTTGGGCTTGTGCACGGCGAACACGCCGCTCAGGGACAGCAGCTTAGTAGCCAAGGCGGCCTTGGAGACCGTGGCTTCGGATCCGGTCCTGGCGGCGGCCACAACCGCCGCGGCTGCAGCCGTCGCTGATGAGGTGGCGGCCGTGGCTGCGGCTGTTCCTGCAGTTTCAGGGACCTGGGCTGTGTCTGTTTCCGAAGACGACGATACCACCGCCGCCTCAGCAGCTGCCATACTTTTTCAGCCCAGACCTGTTTTGTATCTGAGGAGTCGCACGCTAATGACGCAACAGGAGTGCGCCCGACACCCCTCCATCTTTCCCGTACTTCGAAACTGTGTAGATGGGAGGGGCAGTCGCAAGGGCCTCTGGGAATTGTAGTCCATGGCCTTTTGCGGCAGGCTCGGGGAGCTGTGCCTTCCCAGGGCTCTAACGGGAGTAGTTTTTCTCCTGTACCGCTATGTGCGTCTTAGGTCGGGTGAGTTGGGTTCTGCAAGTGTAATTTGGAGTTCCAGTCCTAAACTGCTGAGCCCAAACACAGTCTATGTATATATTCTGTGGGCATCGTCTTTACATCCCATCTGCCCAGAACTAAGAGGACCCAGCTTCCAAGAATAGAAAACTTGAAATGGTTTTTGCTGCGGTTTGTGAAGAATCATGGCTACTTCGGTACACTGCTACATTCGATGTATGGTGCTCTTGGATTCATGATTCAGAGTTAAAATACACCTAAACGTAAGCTCTATTAAAGAAAGGAAACTATTCACCTGTTTACTGCTGTGCCTCACACAGAGTAGGCGCTTAACTAAATATTTGGAAATGAATAAATGGATACGAGTTCTTCAGATTCCCAAAAGAAACTTCTAGGCCAAGCCAATGCTAAATCACGTGGGCTAATTTTGATGCACTCCTGTCCACCTCGCCCCCTATCACCACCACTGTAATTCTTAATAATTTAAAGATTTTTAATATCAACTCTTCCGTGGATTGCATCCCTCAGTAACACATTGCTTAGATATCAGAAGGCATTATTGCAAGTCATAAAATCACACTTTACTTTTAATTTGAGACTTTCTCTCAGGAAGTTATTTACACCCCCATCAAAGTTCAGGAACTTTGTTCTGATTCTGGCACAAGGCAGAGTGGAGAAAAATTCTTCATTCTACCTCTACTTCAGTGGTATTATGAGTATTGTTGAATAGATAAAATTTGTCTCCATTGTTTCTCCAAGTTTTCTTACAGCCACGCTTTCTGCTCGCCGTTCTGTTGTAACTTAAAACCTAGTTTACTGGGTTGCCTGGGTGGCTCATTCAGTCAGGTCATGATTTCATGGTTTGTGAGTTCAAACCCTGCTTGAGGCTCTGTGCTGACAGCTTAGAGCCTGGAGCCTGCTTGGTATTCTGTGTCTCCCTCTCTGTCTACCCCTCCCCTGCTCGTGTTCTCTCTCTTTCTCTTAAAAATAAACATTTAAAAAAAAAAGCCCTAGTATACTAATGATACCTCTTTGCTACTGAAAGTTACCAAGTATGGAACTTGCCCCATTCACTCAACAAATACATGAAAGAACAATGTTCCAAATATAGTATTTATTTCTATATCATCATCCTTCCCCAGTTCAATCACCAGACTCTCTTAAATCTTTGGGGTACACAACAATGCAAATGTACTTAATGCCACAAAAATGTAGATTTACAAATGGTTAAAATGGGAAAGTTTATGTTATGTCTATTATGCCACAAAAAGAAAGACCAAAAAAATCTTTGGGGAGTCTTTGCAAGGTGGGAAGCTGAATTGGAAGTGGAAGTCACTCTTATGGTCTATTCTAAAAGCCTAAACTGAATGCAAACATAATGCATAGGAAGGCCCTGGAGGCCAGAAGAGAATAAAGAGAGAGAAACTGAGTGCTTTACAGGTCCCATGATTACCCGATTGGATGTTTGAGCCTGCTTCAAGAGTTTTCCTTTTCTAGAAAGATACTACGACTTCAGAAGGGTTAACTACACCCTAGGGAACAAAGCTGTCTTTAGCCTCAGCACAGATTTCTGTGCTCTCCTCTTGGCAAGAGCAGAGATCCAGTGACTTTAAGAGAAAGTTTAAAGCAGGATTGAACAAAAACAACTTGGAGATTACAGAGCCCTTTCCCAGTGGTCTAGACATGAGTAAGCTTCCCTAATTCTTTTGTGCCTCCAGGGTGGAGAGAGTAGAGGGAGGAACGAAATAGAGGTGAAAAATAATGCTTCCATTGGAATTTTCCACAATGCCAGTGCAGAATCAGATTTAATTTGATGAAAGGAAAACAGAAAAATGAATATTTCTTGCACATTTTATTTCTGGAATGCTAGGGAACAGCAAAATTAATTCTCCTCTATCAAATCTGTATCCTTGTCATCAGAAGTGTCGAGCTCTAATTTTCTGAGGTAACCAACATCTCCTACATTGGGCAAGCCTTAAATTTACAAGTTATCTTAACATGGGTGCGAGTTAGGATTCTTTAGGTGGGAGTGACAGAAACTGATCCAGTTTAAAATTTATCAAGAGGATTTTAGGAAAAGCGTTTATAATATACAGGAATATTATGCAGAACCTGCAAAGTTTTCTCTCAGTTTCTCTCCCCCACATCTTCTTTCTCTGCTACTCTCTTGAGTCTCCATGCTTCTCTTTTGCTTCTAACAGACTTTGGGTTTTTTCTACTTCTCACTGCACAGTCTTAGTTTAAACCATCCTGCTATCATCTAATGTGATATCTAATATCATCTAATATCATCTAATTCCAAAAATTTCCTGGCTGAAGTCCCTCCTGGCCACAGACAGATCATAGTGCTTCTCTCACTTTGTCACTTAATCTTTTCTTGTTCACATTCCTGCTTAATTTTTCTCATAGCACATTTTATGTGACATACCAAATATTTCCTTATTGCATTTAATGTCTTATTTCCTCCATCAGAATGTATGTTCCGTGAGGGGTTTTTGTATATTTTAATCATTGCTCTGTCTCCAGAGCCTGGAATAGTGTCACACATAGCACTCAATAAGTCGTTGTTGAATAACTGAATGAATAACCACGATAGCTCCAGCAAAAACCACGAAGGGGAGTTAGTGCCGGTTTCCATTAAAGTAGAGTGCTGAACACATACAATAGCTTACCTCAAGTGTAAAACAAGTGCAGCTTACCTCAGTGCTTTTATCTCCGTTGTTGTATATGTGTGGAACTGATGCAAAGAGAGAATACAATCACTTCATGCTAAATAATAAGGCCCCAACTTTCTAGACCAGCTTCTATGCTCCCTCCAACCCAGTCACCTCGCCAAGGGTTGTTAATTAATGAGGCTTAAAAATTGGTAACACTTTCAGGTTTGATTCTAAATCTCTCACTGCCCCCACCACAGTTGCCTTCCTGAGGCTCTTCTTTGATCCTTGACATAGGCCTGTGTGCCTGGGAAGGCTGTTCTTTACAAAGACCTCTCCAATTGTTGTTCATCTGTGCGAGTTCCCATAGATGTCAGAATCCTAGAAAATAGTGCTGGATGAGAACTTGTAGACCATATAGTACAAGACCCACATTTAAGAACTGAAACACAAAAGGGTGTTCCTGATAACCAAGAAAAGAAAGCCGAAGATGCTCTGATCTATAGCATGGCCTTGAGAAAGGCACGTATTTTTTTAAAGTTCAGAGAACAGACGGACATGTTTCATAGCATGAAATTTGAGAGACCTGGAAAACTCACCAAGCGCACACACACACACACACACACACACACACACACACACACACCTTCTGTCTCTGCCATTTCATTATCCTAATAGAGAAAGAAATTATTGTAATAGGGAAGGTAATTAAAGAAACCAGTGGCTGGACTCTGCTGTGAACTAAGGTATCTAAAGGAAATATATTTATCATTTCTTTAGAGGTCGAATTCTAAAAAAAAACAGTTTTATTTTCTAAAGTATAAAGATTTTAATGTTTTAATTTTGATCATAGGTTTCTTTCATATGGAAAAACGATAGTAATACTTTAAAATTTTTAATTAAGCAAAGAATTTTTTTAAAGGAGTAGATGATAAATAACTAATACTAGATAGTATCAAAAACATGCAGGAAGGAGTAAGGCCAGAAAAGTTAATGTCCAAATGATTTGGGAACAGAAAAAAGAAAGAAAGAAAGAAAGAATTCCAGAAACATTAAAAGAAAATAAAAAGAAATTTTTAGAGAAGGTCAAGAAAGATTGATTTAATGCTTGAGGCCAATTGGATGACAAAGCTCAAACAAAATTCCTACTTTGCCTGTCTTCTCCATTGAGATGATTTCTGTATGAAAATGGGAAAAGTCAGCAACTGATGAGAGGAGAATGAAGTTCGTGAGGGCTGAAAAGTTTCGAAGAAGACATTTCTACACTACTTGAGATTAGATCTCCTAGTCCAGAAATTATATTTTGGGGTCAGCTTGCAAAAGAGATGACGTAAGAGAACTAACTTTTGTTTACATATGCTATGTGCTGGGACTTTACATTTTCCTGGAATTTCTATAGTAACTCTTGAGTGATGCTTGTGGAGAAAATAGAGTACAGGCTGTGTCCCAGAACTTCACTGCAAGGTAACTATTATAATTATTATCATCCCCATTTATTGATGAGGAAAATAAAACTAAACGAGATTAAATCATTTGACCAAGGGTATATAGGTAGCATAGCATCAGTGAATCTGTGAGGGTCCCTAAGACCAACCTCAGAATGGATTCTCCAGAAGGACTCACAGAATTCAGGAAAGCTGTAATATTCATGGTCACAGTTTATTACAATGAAAGGATATATGGATGTGGGGGGGAGGGGGGATGGGCATAGAGGAGGACACTTATGGGGATGAGCAGAGTGTTATGTGGAAACTAATTTGACAATAAACTATTTGTAAAAAAAAAAAGAAGAAGAAGAAGAAAGAAAGGATATAGATCAAAATCAGCAAAAGTAAAAGGCACTTGGGATGAAGTCACCAGGAGAAACCAGGCATGAGTTTCCGGTTATCATCTCCTAGTAGGGGCTCAAGGAAAGCACTTAATTCTCCCAGTAATAAGCTGTGTTGCCAATCAGGGAAGCTCCCCTGAGCCTTTGTATCCAGAGTTTTAAATGGGGATCCATCATACAGGCATATAGTACCTACATGACCAACCTCAGCTGCACAGTCTTCAAGCCCCCAGAAATCCAACTGATACCATGTAGCCCAGGGCCGCAGGTATACAAGAATAGGCAATCATCCTAAATTGTCTTATTA